CCCTATCGGGGTTGGCTTGAAAATGAAATTGAGACGCCACTCCAGAGGGAAAGGGGCTCGCTGATCAAGTCAAAAGCCTCAGAAGGTCACGTAGCTCTTCTTTAGCGTTTATTTCTGGCTTGATGCGGTAAAGAAGCGCACACCCAACGTATATGAAGGCAAACGTTGTGCGAAATCTTCTGAAAACGAAGGAGAAACTCGGGACGCGAAGTGACCCAGACGTGGATGCCAAAATTGAAAGCATCCTCGAAAGCAATGGGTATCAAGAAGGAAATTTGGGAGCCTGGGTACCATACAGAACGTTAGATGGGATAACCCTCAAGATGCCATATGTCAACGACAAAATGGCTCGTGAGGTGAATCGTGTTGCGAAAGATGCCCAGCTTAAAATTCGTCTTGCCTTTCGACCTCCTCCCACGCTCAGAGACCTGCTCACATCATCGCGGGTATACGAGGATAAGTGCCACGAGCAGTATTGTCGATAGCACCTCCGAAAAAATCTGCGAACTCCAAGGCACAGTCTATTTAGTCCGATGTAGAGGATGTGGAGAAAAGTATGTGGGAGAGACTGCGAGACCATCGATGATACGCCTGGACGAACATAGGAGGGCGCTGAATAATCCCGCCGCTTACCCACGCAGCAGTTTCTCCAGGCACCGTACGTTAAGGCATACGAATGAGAACGCTCCATCTTTTGAAGTTCGCGTTCTTCACAGACATATGATACGGCCCCTGGAGAGGAAAATCATGGAAGCGCGGGAGATATACCGCATCAAGCCAGAAATAAACGCTAAAGAGGAGCTACGTGACCTTCTGAAGCGTTTGACTTGATCAGCGAGCCCCATTTCCCTCTGGAGTGGCGTCTCAATTTCATTTTCAAGCCAACCCCGATAGGCCGCCCCTCTTCTCCTTTACGTTTCTGGTATGTATCGATGCATGATGTTCTCTGTGTTGTAGTTGCTGTTATTGTAATGTTAAGGTTGGTCTGATGATGGCATTATTGCCGAAAGCTTACCAATAAATACAAGATCAAGAGCTTCAAGACATCTAATCGAACACAATATCAAATGAGGCTCAAAGATAGCAGCATTTTACTATTGTTATTGTTATTATTATTATTGTTATTATTAGAAATGGGTCGCTCGTGAGTTACTCGTTCCCACACCACTATGCTCACTTTAGCCAGAACGAAATTCGAACTAAAGAACAACATGAGCAAGGCGTATTCAAAAGACGAAGCTGAAAAACGCGAACGTTTTGCTTACAGTGGGCAGCAACATCATTTTAACACTTGTTTTCGAACTTACCACTACACCATCAAAACCTCTGTTAATTGCCTCTGTTAGCGCGGTGGTCGGTCCAATGGTTCCACTATCATAATATTGGTCAGTTGTTCCAAACCTGAAATTGTCAACACACGAAGGTGCACCTGATTTTGGTAATGTAAATGGAACATACTTTGCCTCCCAGGAATCCCTATGATAAGGTGTTACTATGAAAGTTTTAGTATCGTGCTCAACTTTTTCGTTTTTGACCAGCATAGCTCGTACAGCTGCACCGTAATATGCGGCGGCGAACGTGAGAGAAATGAATGAATACCATGTCTGAAAGGGTACATTAGAAAGAAGATGTAGCCATTCTGTTAAAGATCATGCAAAGCTGAGGCCTCGTATTATTCGACAATAATGTGCAATGCATCACGTATTTATTTATTATTATTGGTCAGTCACAGATTAATGAAAGGCACAGTTGCAATCACGTAATTCAGAACTGACTGACTTTTCTTAATTGCTAGTGCTAAAGTATGTATGCTACGGAAGAGATACTCATACAAATAGGTTGAAAATTACAGTTCTGTAAATGAATTGTACATTTGTGTTGTGCAAACAAGGGCTACGAGAGACGTTCTAAAATTGTCATAGTAACAACCTCTTTGCCCCTACCGCTACGATGACGTTACCAATGTGAACGCCTTGCGCCTTGCTCTGCCTCTCACAATGTGGCTGACAACACTTTGTAACCAAGCAAATCTAATATAAATATACGGACAAATAAATATAATAAAGGAATAATAAATGTACTATATAGTAGGGTCAAATAGCACCAAATCCACCTGAACGCAGCAGCTTGCGCAAAGGCTCCCGCTACTACACCATTCCGGTCAGTCCTTGTTATCCTCAAAGTGTATGTATAAAGCGACAGTTCAGGGACATAAGCCGTTTGAATAGAACAAGCACCTGAAGTAAGGCGTGAATTACGACGTTTTGCCGCAATCACGTACATTGCGCTCGCAGCGACCGCTTTCTGCGGTAGCCATTCTGAAGGTCATGACAACAACGACGCTACCCCTCCGGTCCAGGGCAGCAATCCAAAGATGGTCGAGCATCGCAGCGTACGCTCCACCGCTCGGGCGGGGAGCCTGAGCACCGCACGCGAGCGTGTCCATCCTCCACCTCCTACATGAAGGCGCTTAGTACATTTGGCGAGTTTGCTCGACCGTTCTCTTTTCGAGAGCTAAGAGAAAACGAGGGCGAGCACACGTTTCAACGCGTCAGTGCTCGCGCATTGTACGTGACATTGTACATTGTACGTACAGCAGATCAATATGATTCCCGCCTTACTTCGGGTGCTTGCTCTGTCCAAACGGCTTAACTCCAGTTCATGGTTTCTACGTGTGTACGTCTGTTCGTATGTCGCTACGAAACTTAGCACCACCTGCGGAATCACCTGCCGAGTCCGAGTCAAATTCGAGATGAGTGGGTCATGAAGTGGAGAACACACCCTTGCCTTCAAATGACCAGAAATTGTGCAATTGTAGAAATTGACGTGGCATTGGCACAAGTTGCTGAATTTCGATGAAAAGGTGACACCAAGTGTGCTCAAAGACGTTCTTGAATCGATGCCACGTTAATGCCACCTCATTTTCTGCAAATGCACATTTTCTGGTCATTTGAAGGCGAAGGTAATCAGCTGCGTGTGGGGCCTGTACCATGTAGACAGTGCCGATGGCCCGGAGACAGGGAAAATGGGTGAGTGGTGTACATTGAGTTGTCAGATCAAATTAAGGAGACTCGCTCACTGTGGGCATAGCGTCATCTGAAGAAAACTCATGACCCGGTCAGTAGAACGCCCAAAAGCAGAAGAAAGTTGGTGTAGGAGAACAATATCCAAGGTATCCCCAGCATACATTCTGAGCGGAAGTGTGCCCATAGTGAGCGGAGCGTTACCATTTTGGACGTTATGTGGGCAATGTTCGTTGCGAACCCTTAGAACTCGATTCAGAGAATTCTCAGAAACCGAGAAAAGAAGGGAGGAGGAAAAACCAATTGATAATGGTAGGCAGGGTGTGCGCAAAAGTGGGTGGAGTTCCCCACAATTTTTTTCAGGTAGATGTTCAGCGATAAAATCAAAATTCTACAGATTTACAGGATCGACCGAAATCGACGGAAACTATCGGTTTCTGCTCAAAGGGCTCGCAATGGGTAGCGATCTACAGAATCTTTTGGATCACGCCATAGAAGCCGGAATTTCGCACTCATAGGTGATCGATCGATCTGTGTGATTAAAAATATCGGTTTTTCGCGCAGGAAACTCGAAAGGGGTGGCGAATTACAGTGTTTTTCTTCTACTTCTCTCTACCGTTAGTCCCGCGTAATTGTAGGATCCGCTGTCTTTGTCAGTGGCTCAATCGCCGCCCTTTCCAGGGCGTCTTCTGCTGTGGCTGTGACGTCACTAGGGTGCTTCTCGACGAAGTCCCGGCACATCTTATTAGAGTCCTGTGCGCTCGCTTACCTTACGCTTCGAAGTTCATTCAGTCTGGTCACTTATCGGGGGGGGGGGTATCCTCAGCTTCCCTTATTACGTGTCTGAACTAAGCGTTGTTCTGCATCTTTAGTTGGATGAGGACAGCGTATGACCGCTCTAACCTCGGTTCTACCCTTTCCAAGTCTGCATGTAAATCTCAGCATCCTCATCTTGGCGGAGTAGAGTGGCCATCACTTATTGCCGTATAGCATCGCAAGCCTTTTCACTGTTAGGTGCGCCTACTATACATGTTCTGGAGCACCTTTGCTCGCAGAGAATTATAGTGAAGTCTCTTCATTTCATGCATGTCGCGTTGATCCTTGTCTTTACTGCCTAGTCCACAACGCTGTCGGTGGCTAGACCGCTCTCAACGTACAGAAACTCCTCCAATGTTTCAACGCTTTCTCTATGGCCGTCTGAAGCTAGCTGCGTCCATTCTTCAGCAGAAACCCAGGAACCTGGTGTTCTTGACCTTTAGTCAGCCCACATTGTCAGCACTTTTTGCCATTTCTGCATAGAGCATTGAAAATCATAGGGCACTAGCAGTGCCTATTGTGCGCTGAACACGCCTGAAGCGAGTGGATGTCCTCCCAATATGGACCCCCATGCCATCGAACGGGAGACATTTTTATCGTAACCTCATGATCCTATTGAATCACAGGTAATTGAAATTTATCTCACGAAAACATCGGTATCGGTTTTGTGTGTAAATCACGGAATGGTTCTAGTTCAGTGCTGACTAGTCAATGTCGTAGGAGCTGGAGTTCCATGGAATCAGAGGTCATCGACTGATTAGCATCGAAAACATCTGTTTTTGTGCATATGTCCCAGAACGGATAGTGGCTGTGTGTTGGTTAAGTAAGATAGAGAAATCCGACCACCCATCAGTATCCCCTCAATGTATAAAGCAGTAGTTTGGTATGTTCGTTTGTCCAGGTGAGGGGCGAGGCCTGCACCGAAACCTCTGCGGGGAATATCGGTTTTTGCGCAGAGAGCTCGAATTAGGTTAGGAATCACAATATTGATTGAGCTCTGAGGTAAAAGTCGAAGCTCCATCAGGTCACGAGCTATCGATCGATATCGATTGAAAATATCGGTTTTTGCGCAGAGCTGGTCTTGGAATCGGTTGGAAACCATATTATTGACTTGGTGCTGTAGCAAAATGAAAATTTCGTCGCATCGCATGCTATCGATCGGTATGAATTGAAAATATTGATTTTTGCGCAGAAAGCTTAGAACGGTGGGAAATCACAATGGGTAGGTAACGCAGTGACAGAAGCTACTTCAAAATGCGCGCGAGGGCGCGCGAAGCTGAACTGGTGTACACACAGAAATCAATAAAAAATATTGGTTCTTGCATGGACGCCTGAATGGAGCACACTACTGACTGAGTACAAACAGGTATCTTGAACTCCGATGCGTCGCAAATGTCGATTGGCCTGCTGAGTAGTGTCAGAAAAGTTAAATTTTCATGGCTTCATAAGCTATCGGTCGAGATGGTTGGAATGCGGGTAGCGGCCCATTGCAAAAAATCCTCTCTATGTATATAGCAGCGTGTCTGTCTGTCCGTTCTTCTGTAACCAGTAGGCTCGCAAGCTACGTAGACCAAGAAAACAGTCAGGGTGTGGTCCCAGATGGGTTGCTCCTAGGGCGTGTAGGGTGGAGACATTGCTTGGTCAGAAAGGGTATGGTAGTGGGCGTAGCCCGGTCAGGTGGCTGGGGCTTACGCTGAAATCTCCGTAGAAAACACAGGTTTTGTGCAGTTTCGAATTGCTAAGCGAATTACAATTCCACTGTGTAGTGCTGAGTTGAATTTCAGGTTGGTCGCATGCAATCGATAGATATCGATTGAAACCCAGTTACACCAAGTTACAACTGGCCCAGGGTGAATACGGTCGAGAATTCCCTCCACCATGGCTCTCTACTGTGCGAGAATATGTAGTGTCGAGAGCGAATGCATGCGCGGAGAGCACAGACGGCTCGCGGGGAAGCTCCGAAGAAATTTTAAGAGCCATGTGGAAGTCGGCGGTGAGCATGGATGTTGTATTCACATGCCTATACGAAGCGAGTAAAACTTTTTAACAAAGTTCAGTACATCTGAGAGTTCCCTCACGCCAACAGAGCGATAGACATTTTGCAAAATTGAAATTGCTGCAGTAACTCACTTTTATCAGCTTTGAGAAGGATTTCGACTACGTAGGAACAGAAGCAACAACTCAGTTGTTGGGCCAAGAGGGAGACTCGTGAACACATGCTGGTACTTTCTTGAGTTCAATGTAACTGGATACTCTCACGGTTTAACAGGAGGTTGAGTTTGCTGTTGAGTTGAGAGAGTTGCTTTTTGCATGCGGTAACATACCTTCAAAAGCGTCAACGCAATTCAAATTGACAAAGCAGCAAGCTCAATTAACGATCCGAGCGAGAGTAATAGACCTATTTAGCATTATGTTTATTCCTTTGCGTGATTTGAAGCGCTGAACCCCAATTTGCTCCCTATCTGCTGAACAGTTTCCTGAAATGAAACAAGAAACTGAAAAGCGCACCAGAAGTGGTAGGGACTTCCAGAAAAAAATCGTGAGAACACTCCTTGGCGAGTTTGCTCTCTAGCCTTTTTCAGTAACATAGCTAGAAGCACCCCCGACAATGCGCTTTAAATGAGTAGATAGACTTGTTTGGAAATTTTGTGAATCGGTACGGCATCATCGTTTTCGGCGTATCGCAAATATAAGAATGATGTTGTTTGATTTTGGATAACGCATAGATTGCTTTGTTCTTTTGATGAAAATGGGCCGCGTCAATTGCTTATGCCGTCTTAAATTTCTTCGGTGCTTCTCATTCCTCTAACGCTATCTATTCAGCTTTGGAGAACGTCCTACTTACTATAAAGCGCTTCGCCTGTCGTCTGTTGTCTGTCTGTCCTCTGTCGTTCTGTATGTCTGCCACGAAATTCCCTAGCTCCTCGGAATCCGCCTGAAGGGATTGGGTCAAGTGTGGGACGGGTGGGCAAGATCTCACGAAGTAAAAAACACATCATCTAGCGGAGTCCCTCCCACGGGGGCTGGCGTGCATCGAAATAAACTGTACCGACGACCAATATTTCAATTTCAGTGAGAAAATAACTTTGAAACTGGGCCAAAACGTGGGTAAAGGTGTGTATTGGTGAGTAACATCGAATTAGGGAGACCCACCCTCCCCCTCCTGGTGGACGGAGTGTTCTCCTAAAAAGCTGTGCTTTGTGAGGAATTCCATAACTTGGTTGGGAGAAAGCCTATAGAGCAGAAAACAACATGGTTTAAGGGAGCAATATCTAAGGTGCTCCCAGCAAACACGACGTTGGTGGAGGTCCGCACACAATGGGCGGATCGCGCTCTGACCTGTTCAGCGTTTTCTACATGTCCTCTTGATTCGGGCCGGAGAAGTCCTAGTGCGCCGGAAAAAGGTGGATAGAGGTGAGTGAAGGAGAGAAGCCCAACTGCTGATGGTGGGCGGGGCATGTTCAAAGGGGCGGACTTTGCGACGGAAATTAAGAACTCGGTTCCAAGAAGTCCCGGAGACTGGAAAAGGGACAGAGGTGGGTGAAAGAGTGGAGGCCCACTGTCATCGGAGGCCAGGGCATGACCAAAGTGGAAGGAGTTATCCACGAAAATTCATAACTCGGTTCCACGAAGTCTTGGAGACCGGGGAAAAGTGAGCTGAGTTCGTCAATGTAAGGGAGGTTAACTGCTACTGGAGTTTGCCCTAAACTTATAATTTAGTTCCGAGAAGTCCAGGAAACCGCAAGAGTGGGCCGAGTCCTACAACGCACGCATCTTACGTTCTTAAGGACCTTGAGGATGTAACGGTCGAACGGTCTTTTATCTTGATTATGAAATGAGATAATATTGGAATGAAATGCGTTATCTACAGTATGATTATAAGTGATCTCTATGTTCCTGCGCATATTGCAATTATCGGTCATTATTGGCCTTATCACTTTCTCTCTTCGGAGAACATGTTCCTGTCCCATCCTGTACATCACTTCTTGGAACTAACGCCTCACTACTGCTGGGACGCGCGCTACGAATTTTGTGAGAGTTGCGTTCTGGCGCCTCTTATCAGCCCTTATCGGCACTTATCACCTTCTGTTCCCTAGCAAACATGTTCCCGTCACGACCGCTGTATCATATCCAAAGGACAGCGCCTCAACGCTGCTGGCATGCGCGTTATGAAGTTCGTGACACCTGCATTGTAAAACCTCGTATCGGATCTCATCAGCTGTTATCACCTTCGGTCTCCCGCCAAAAATGTTCCCGGCCCGCCTCCTACATCATATCTTGGAAACAACTTCTGATGAGTGCTGGTCCCGTGCAACGAATTTCGTGACACACCCAGACAGACAGCCTTAGCACTTTTTATATAGCAGGGATAGGGCATGGTATTCAGGATTCAGGCAACAGAATAGCTAGATTCTCAATCTTCTCTGAAAGTGCACTGTGGAGCGCGGGGTGCTTTGATGTTCTCAGGTCAGGTGATCAAACACTTTTGTAAATTCTACCGAATACAGAATGAAAGAGCCCTATCGTTGACGAATTCTTTTCCTTTCTTTTCTCTCTCTTTCTTTTCTTTTCCTATGTGTAAGAATGCATGAACCGCTTCCATTCGAGCTATTAGGTGTTTCAGAAAGTTCTGTCGTTTTCCAGCCCCTAATTTTAAAGCAACAGTTCAGGAACGGTTTCGCGGGAAAAACCACCAATAATGAAGTTGTAGATGAAAACCAGACGAATAATGTATGAAAAACTGGAAAAAAATGTCGGGGAGGGTCTTAGACAGGTACTCTCCCCTGCCGCTCAGCAATGGATAAAGACGCACGTTGGACGAGTTGTCTGAACGTGCCCGCTGTAAACGCGCTCCATTTTTCAATCAATTTTCCCTGTGGTCCCAAAACGAGCACGATTGCCGACGCGTCCAATGACGGCCGGCAAGGGGGCGGGATTGGGGAAATCCCCAAGAACACCCATGTTTGAGGGTCCACCCTGTTTTTGAGTTTCTGAGGTAAGTTCGTTTATTATTTCCACTGCATGTGTTCTTCACTAGGGCTCGTGTATCCCTCAGTAGTAGTGGCATTGAAATTTTGGACCTCATGAACTGTTGCTTTAAATGCAGTATCCGGCTTGGTGCTCAACCTTTCCGAGTCTGATTTAAAAAACTTTGAAAGCAGCGAATCTTGTTCTCATAGAAAACACGTTCAACAGGCACCGTTATTTGGAATTGTGGACCTCCTGAGCGTATGAACTGAGAGGGAAGCGTCGTTATTAGCATCATGTTGGTTTTTGATGTATTATTTCTTCAAGGAAGCCTATCGAGTATCGTCGAGTTTGACAGTAGATGTTCAAGGGTTCTACTAAGTAAGATGTTTCGCAGAACCACTCTGAAGTTCAGCTGGTAAATTGTGAAGGTGTGCCGTGCGATGTGCGTTCAAGACACCTTTCCAGGGATGTGTGTGTTCTTTTAATGAGGGAATAGCTGACCCATGTCCTAGAGTTTTTGCTGATGCATTTTTTGATTAAGTATGAAGATTGATTCTCACCTGTAACAGTTCCATCTGATACTAAAGATTATGGCAGCCGTCATGGACCCCATGAAAGCTGCCACAACCTCCTACAGCCACGTTTAAATTTCTGCAAAGTTTGTAAGCTTCATCGCCGTCGATCTATTCCAGCAAACTTTCGTGACTATAGAGAAGAATCGCCCTTTATTGTACGTTGCAAATCTGTAGCAGAAACGGTTTCGCGTTTTTCCCACATACCAGGGTCGCCGCGGCAAAAAAAAGAGTCACTTAGCCTATCTGAGCGATATCATCAAACTTTTGTACGCCAGAAAATGCCGCTGTATTGGGAGTTAATATGGCAAATTATTCCTATAGATGTCCCCAGAAGCGAATCAAGCCCACTTCGCTGCCGCATCACCGTCTCCAGCAATATGACTTATCTGTCAATCACCGTCGAGGCATGAAGGAGGCTACAATAATCGCTCATCTGAAGCTCCTACATAATTCTTCAACATGGTAACTGGTAATGACTCTTAGAGACCAGCTCTGACTATGCGAAATGGCTTTTGACCGCGTTTCAGAGGACGTCGTAATCAGCTACATGAGTTTCTCGAGGACCCCGTTGACTCGTACGCGAACATGTTTCCGTAGGGGAAAATTTCTGAGGGTGATCGGTGTAGAAGACCACTATGCGATGTTTTTTGATAGCAGTAGAAAGAGCTCTTCATATGCAAAAACTAGCGCATTCGGTTTGTTTTGCAAAAGTGCTAATAATTTGTTTTGAATGTGAGTTAGGAGGGACTCTTTTTTTTTGGCCCCCCTGCTAAACACCGCGACAATTTAGAGGGCGACGATGCTTCAAATTGGATTTGTTGCCGGCACGCACCTATCGAATTTTTTAGACTCCAGCTTCTTCCGTATAGCTTGGCTGTAAAACCATATAGCCCAGGCTTGCGGCAGCGCCCTGGAACCTCCTCATTATGTCTCTACGACAAGTGACTTCAATCAGAATTTTGGCTAATCGAGAGACACCGTCGATGGTCCGACACTACTAACTCAATTATATCAAGGTCTCGCTTCCTTACAGACACTTTTTTAACTAACTGACTTACTGCAGCCATTATTGCAAATCTGGCGCCCAAAGCTCGTTGATTATCTTGCAAGTGATCACCGGCACTTTCAGGTCTAATTTAAAGTAGAAAAAAGACAAGGTCATGCCAGCTGTGCTCCTCGAGTATACTGAATTCAAAAGCTTTAAAAGCATATAAGAAAATATTTTAGGAATAAAGTTGTGACTGAAGCATTGGATAGAGCTGGACAAGTCTTCAAATGCATCAACATCAATTGCTTGCAGCTTTCCTAAGATTTCAAGGGAAATAAAGCCATCCAAAAGTGGGAAATTCAAGAAGACGACAGAACGTTTTGAAACACCTAATACTATACGTTTGAATTGGCTGCAACGTATGGGCAAATACCAACCAGGTATCGATAATCGCTTGGAATTGCTAATAGGATTAAAAAAGCATAACTAACCTTAAGAGCGTAAGCCAAAAAAACCTACTTTGTAACCATGCTTACTAAAGGACACCTCCGTTATAATAACCCAATCCATTTCTCGACGTTTGAAGCAGTTGAGGCAGTTGTCGCCCTCAAAGTTCATAATGTTAAAATGCAAAGTTGTGGTAAAAAAATAAACAGAATTCTTGAATCGTATTAAATTACCCATATTGACTTTTCTCCCGCTCCACGAAGTCATTTAGTCAAAGTTTTAAGCTTGCTTGTTTTGTAAAGGGAGAATTTACGACGAAAACCTAGCTCATCGAAAATATGGGAAGTGGTGGTCATTGGAGCAGGAATGAAGAAGAAACCATTGAAATGGCCCGACACTCGAGAAATGGAACCATTTTCTTGTCCGTTGATTTGCGCATTGATGCGACTCTCATCGTTTTGCCCTCTTCAATACCACGCTCTCTCTGCCATCCAATGACTTGCCGCGTGTAGACTTGCGGCGAGTGATTAGGCTGTCGATGGGCGTACCCTCCCAAGCGCGCCAAGACTAAGCCATGATAGATCACCAAGGTCAGTTTTTTCGCAGCCAATTGCGTGTCGGTCATCACTCTCAGGATGTCCAACACAACTATATACTTTCCCTTCTATGACCTTCGTTCTTATCGTGAATTCCTCCTTTGAATGAGCGCCATTCAAATTTTTTTTGATGAGAAATCATTCTAGAGTAATCGCGAAAATTGCGAGTGCCACAACAATTCTTTGACCTTTCTATGCTTGCTATGTCATCGTTTACGTATTGCAGCAGCTTTCGACTCCTGCGCTTTCACAGAACACCTAAATGCGGCAGCTGTCTGGACTGATTAGGTGGTTACCTTTTCCTGTACGTAACACCAGATTGCGCTAACAAAGTGCTCACGTGAATTTCAGGAGCGTCTGAAGGTGAACAAGACGGCGGTATGCAATGGCAAGAGGCACAGAGAGTTGGAAAACCTTTTCAAACAGGATGAATGTTGGAAGTTCCGAGTGAAATTTTGAGGCAATATCAAGATATCCTACGACCTTATCCAAAGCGATGAGAGCAACTTGACAATTGATGAGTGCCACCTGGCTACCTTCTACACTGCGCAGCAACGGGCTAGGTCTGTCGTTAGATGCGGTTCATTCTTGCCCGACATACAGCTCATAGAAGCTTCGAGTACGCCCCGGCTATGGTACGCAACATCTCTTGTGGAATTTCGGCCAAGGCTTTATATAACTTCCGTAACCATTTTCTTCGAGCTTTTCTTGATTTCGATTCTGATGCTTCTGAACAGCTAATCTCCCTGTCTACCAGATTCACTGAGATCACATTGACTGTGTAAACGAGACGCATCAGGAAAGATCACCAGACTGACCTATCCAATGAGAGTGAGGCACACGTTTGTTTGCGCGGCTTAAGAAGCCGAACTCAAATCTATCTTCCTCCTCTGCTAACTTGAACGTAAGCTTCTTTCTGAACGGATGTAAATAAAAAATCGCAGCATTAACATCCGCATCGTAAATGAGGTCGTGGCACCGACTCCTTGACGAGCTTGCCTTTTGCCTTTTTCCCAGTAAGAGCAAAACGACTCTTGACACCGCTGGCTCAACAATGCTTACCTATAGTTACCATCACGAGGAACTGGCGAGAAGTTTTTGAGAAAATGTGCTTTATTTGCTCACCATTGCACTTAGCGTCTGTAGCGCAAGCGCCAGGCGAAAACGCCTGGCGCTTGCGTTACAGACGCTCGTCGTCTTCTTCTTCTTATTCTTTAGCGTCTAACCCGTGTCTAACCCACTTTTTTGACGTTGACGCCACTTTTCTTGAGTAAACGCATGATCGGGGTGGATGTTAATCGATTTGAAGTCATGGTGCAACGTATCGAGCCATCGAGCCACCTACGTCTCGCCATACCCTAAACCACTTTTCAGGCACCTGGTTGAGGCCGATCTTACAGACAATGCCATAATACACGCTTAGAACATAACTGTATCATCGAACACGGGTTTCGCGCGTCTTATCGAAAGTTGGAGCTACACCAAATGCCTCCCTGATGGCATAGTTCCGAGTGCGGTCTAACTGTGTTACTCCAGCTGCATAGTGCAGCATCTTTGTTTCCATCACACTGACCGGCTTCAACTTTTTTAGTCGCAGACCAGCGTTCGGCACTATTAATGTTAGAGTTGAGTCGTTTTGGTATGTTCTTAGCGCACAGAACGCCAGTCATCATTCGCCATTTCGACCAGGTTGCATTCACGCGAGAATTCGCTTACGAAGCCAGACTGCCGCGATTGCTCATGCAAGATACTTGAATGTCGTGTGTGATCTCAGTACCACTGATCCAAGTAGAGCCTGGCCCACTCGCATTGGTCATCAAGCACTCCGCCTTCAAGTTTAATCTGAGCCCGAACACAGCCAGACAGTCGGACCAGGTTTACACCTATTGCTCGAGCGTGCTTTTATGTTCGCTGGCAAGCATCACGTCGTCGGCATAGAAAAGCGTTCATGGAACCGACTCCTGGAGATTTCTTCAATCTTCCTATCTCTCGTAAAGAACAGAGTGCGCTTTGAACAATGTAACTCTGTCGGGAGTCGTTCGACATGGATAGTCCCTAACGTTTTATTAGCCTGCAAAATTTCGATGCAGATAGTGTTCGTGATGGATTGAAAAGGATTTCCCTATTGAAATGAAATTAGCATGTTGTGCTTTGACGTGCAGATCATTTCAACATGGTGTCTTGTGTATCCTAACTGACATGCACTCACTTCATGACACGTCATTGCTGACATGATGACGGCTGTGTTTATTAAGGCGCGTCTTATCGACATTGGATGGAATGTTTTCAACGCGATGCTGTATCGCTGCAGTGACGCCGTTCAGCGTACATGTAGGTGTCGTCGCGAGCTTTTATCGCGTCGGGTAGCGATCCAGTGCTTGTTACTTCAGAATCGCGTATCTCTCCTATTGCGCTATGCTGCTTACTCTCATTTCTTCGTTTTCGTATAAGCCAAACTAGCATCATGCTCGTGGAAATGATGCTATACGCCATTATGGCAATGGATATGAGGGCGCCGACTGGCCAGCAATGACACTCCCCAGAAGCTTTCTCGATAACAGAGTTTTGGAGACATCACATACTTGCGGAAGCGCGCAAATGACTTTGAACGTGATCGGGGTGAACTTTTCCACATAAGTCAATGAGGCGTTTATTTTACCGCTTTTGCTTGGGGGTAGGATTTCAAAAACTAGCTCATCGTAGGTTGCCTGGAAGAACCTGCATGTTTTGCTTATGCAAAGCGTAAAATTACTCTGTGGCGGAGTAACCCACATGAGATCTTTTCTACACAGGATTTTCGGTGAGGCTTTCGCCTGTGGGAGCAACGAGATCAATACTACTATTATGATTACTGTCAGTAACATTACGCTGGTGTTCCCCAACGAACTCGCTCACGTGAGGTTCGCCTCTGAATTATTCTTGATTGCTTGGATCGCTTTAAGCTTCGCTGTTCTCTGTGGCCTAGTGCAAAGGAGATCTGCGGTTGTATTTTGCTCTTTCTGTTGATTCGGAACCTCTGTGGTTATATCACAATTTGGTGATGAAATTTCCAGTGGATATATCTTGCTAAGAGGTCTATGCCATATATGCTTATTTGGCATCATGATTTTGACTGATCGTATCATGTTGTCAGCGCTTCGAACCACATCGATTATTTTCCCGTAGCACCAGCTACCAAGGGGTAGACTCTCTTGCTCGATGAGTACGATTTCGTTCACATGTGGCTCCCTTGGCGTTTGATGCCTAGGTTGCTTGCGATGTATGACTTGCATTTCGCGCAACGCTGTTAGGTATCCGGGGTGCCACCTTTCCCAGAATCCTTCCGCTACTCTTTCGCTGTTTTCGAGTTCTTGCGTGACCGACTGTATGCTGTGGAACAAACGTCGGATCTTGGAGCTCATCAGGATCAAGTGATGGTAGTCCATACTTGAGAGTTTTCTAGATAAAATCGACAGGTCTCAGTGTACCATCCTCCACATTCGGGGAGCAAGCGACGAGAGGTAGTGTGTCGACTATCGCTTCTAGTTCTGTAACAACTGTCAAAAAATCAGGATACTTCAGCTTTTTTCTCCCCACTGCTCTATAGAAGGCACGTTTAACGGTGCCAACTAGACGATCCCATGCGCCCCCCATCCAGAGAGCTCGAGGTGGATTGAAGATCCACTGTACTCTTGCTCAGCACAGTAGGACATAACGCAGCTTTCGCCTATGTTTTCACTGTCAGAATTGGGTTTGATCAGCGTTTCTATCACTTGCTGTCCTAGTTTGAAGTTTGATCTACAATCGGTGCGAACCAATTTTGGAATTCCTAGTCTTGCCACGAATCTTTTGAAAGTCTAGGAAAGCTCCTGCTTTCATGTTCTCATTCACCTCGAGGTGAATGGCTCTGGTCGCAAGACATGTGTAAAGGCAGACGTAACCTTTCTTGTTTTCTGTCATTTGGATCGGACCCATGAAGTCGCATCCGACCTTCTCGAAGGGCCTTGTCAAAATTGACTTGTCCTGAGGAATTGATGGCCAGGGGTACTAATAGGTAATCCTTGCCATTTTTTGCATGTCACACAATTTTTTTACGAATTTTCTGAAAGCCTGATGGTCGAGGTATCCAAAATCGTGATTGCGCTATACAGAGAGTGGGGTCTCTTCCACTATGCGCGTTCTTGTTATGAATGTCACTCAGAATGAGCCTTGCCAGTCCTTGTCAACGTATATTGGATTTCTTGTGTCATAGGGAAGGTTTGTATTCTGCAGGCGCGACTATTCCGTATAATACCGGTGCCATCACGGAACCTCTACTCTATATTCGCACTTGATGGATGTGTTGATGCGACGTATGAATTTCTTGCATCTGCAAGTGAATCTTCATCTGAATCAGCGATCATCTTGACCTCGGAAATGAATTTTACCATCAAATGACGCGGTGTCTGTTCTTGACCTAGCCATTGAGGACCGATTAGCCACGGTAGTTTGTAAACGTGATCCACATCAGCACCGCGTGTACCTGCGTCCGCAGGATTTGTGTCAGTGGGAACATACCAGAATATTACCGAGTTTCCACTGAGTTCGATCGACTTCTTCACCTTCATTACGCGACATTTCTGGTTTTCCACGAATGTCGGAAGATTACCCGTGCCTGTCACCCGGCGCTGAGCTGTCGCTCAAAACATTGATGTCTTTTATCGTTTTTTTGCTGGCCATGGCAATAGCTTTGCCAAGACGTATCGCTATGAGAATTTAGTATATTTTCGTTCCGAAAATAGGCGCAAGCTGCTAATGCTTGAGTACTGGCATCTGCGAAGATCCAGAGGGTGAATGGCCCCGTGACGTCGTCAATTGAATAGCGAGGAATTGAAAGAGAGGCATTGTTCATTCCCTTACAGACTTTGTTCCATAGTTCAGCGAGGCTCCTCGGCACTGGATCTTTCCATTCGATTTCAGCATCATATATTTCTCGCATGAGGTGCTTGAGGCGTATAGTTAGTGGGCCTGCCATTCCGACCGGATCGTAGATGGAGTCTAACTGACTAGCAACATCTCGTTTTGTTAAGCCCGCTTTTTGTGGGAGCTTGATTTGGAGGCGAAACTCATCAGAGGTGGTATCGTACGTAACACCGAGCAGTTGATGGTAACGCTATGAGCTCTGTCGTGTTGTGCACTGTTAATATCATTCGAGCTGGAGACGTACAGTACTCGCCGTTTGAAATCGAAAATTCACGCGAATAACGCGAATCCTCGTTAATTTCGTGAATTCGTTATAACTCTTTCAAAATTGAGCTTTCGAGAACGCGAAGATATCTTTGAATTCAGCTCGTCGGACACTATAAGAACGTGCTTTTATATTTTGGAAAAGCTCCATATAGGATTGCGCCATGCACTTGACTTTCATCTCAAAAAGTAGTTGCTCGCATGTGATGTGTATATAATCCCGCTTATGCGGGAAGATCGCTATACACAGAGAAGGGCCTCAAAACTTACCCCAGAATGCGCCACGTACTCAATCTCATCCACTACATTGTGAGATTAGATGAATGGTATTTCCCGGATTCTCAGATCTTCATTTCGTTTTTAAGCGCAAACTGGCTTCACGTGTTCCCCCTGCTCTCAATATCCAATCCTCTGTATATCAAGTGGAATCTTTGGAGAGTTCTCAGCAGGCATAGTGGGCCTATTATGTAACATTTTCCATTTTCAGAGGAGATGTTTTGCAGAAAGCTGTGAAGATAGCGAACAACTTCCTCCACTGTCGTAGACTACGGTCACTTCTCTGTAAGGATTATATGGAAACCTTAGTCGCAGATGAGCGTTTCTTCCGCGGTGTGACCCCAAACGTCACCCCTTGTCATGCCTTTGCCTCTATTACGTGACAAGTCCCATTTTTAGAGGAATGTTTTGTAGAAAGCCGTAAAGGAAGCGAAGAACTTCCTCCACTGTCGTAGACTATGGTCACTTGTCTGTAGGAATTATATGGAAAACTCGGTCGCAAGTGAGGGTTCCTTCCGTGGTGTGGCCCCAAACATGCCTCCCCGTCTAGCCCTTGTGGAAAGTTCAGATTTTTTGCATTTCCAGATGAACTCGCAGACCTGAAATGAAATGTGCCTCGTTAGCTTCCCGTGAAAAATGCTATCGAATGATATGCATTACTTCCCCCAGTTGAAACTTTGGTTTTTCACTGTTTTCAGCCTTCCTTATTGCCGGATGGATCACTATCCCCGTCGATTACTCCCGATTATAAGTTTCTTTTTCATCGAAAATTTGGAGCAAATTATGGCGTCAGTCTGCGACTAAGGGTTAATTCGATTGCCAGCCTTGATTAATGAATATGCGGAATATCTTTTTTAGATGCCTTATGACTCTCTAGGTGTATTTGAGGGCGACACCGGCTGTTATCACAAAGTCTGCCGAAATTCGTCAAATTTAATGTGGTTATTTGGGTTCTTGGTGTCGTTACCCCCGAAAACGAACACTTTGTTTTGTGCCGCTGGCGCCATTTGGCGCCGTTTGCCGCAATATGGCCGCCATGTGTTTTACCAAATTCGTTGAAACGTTGTAATTAGGGGTTTTTTGTGGTCCTGTGGATCGACGGAAAATATAACTCCAGGCCTTGACGCCCGGTGAAGTCATAGTGAGGTTTCTGAAAACAACACTGCAGTCAGAGCGTACTTCGTTAGATACCTGTGTCTCAAGAGCGCGATATGTCAGGGAAGGTCTCGATCAAAGACTTTTCCGACAAGGAAGTGGGCGAGACGCGTGGGGGAAGGTCCTCGAATCGGCTTTCACACAGGACGGAGCCAGAAAGATGTATTTCACGTTTTCGACAACGGAGTAACCCGATGGACTCTTGTACTCTTGGCTTTGTCATGAGCTTCGCGATGTCACGGTTGTTTGCATTGCCCTATTTGGGACAAGCTGCGCAAGGATGGGCAAGGTAGGAAAAGATACCGGTCAAGCGTCGGGTCACACCAGTTCAATTCCCGTGGGGCGGTTCGTTTCAGCGACGCGTATGTGTGGGGCATTCAGGAGGAACCCGAAGATCATCGGAAGGTTTGGAGGTTGCTGAGTGAATGACCAGAAAATTGGTTATAAAAGCAAATATAAGCCCGACCGCATGGCCACAAGTGCGATGTTGGAAGGATTGAAGAGGGAAGTGGACTTTCGGATGTCCGAGGCAAGGCCGTTACTTACGCGGCTCTTTCATGTGACGAGTAGTACTAAAATAAATAAATAATAAGTTGTAGGCAAGAGCCTATTATTTTTTTTTTCTGTTGTCGGAACACGTGAAACATGTTCTGTGGTCCTTCTGTGGGACGGGAAAGTTCCGATTGCGATAGGCCTTCCGGGTTGGCTCTTTTGTGTGTGATAGGGAAAAGTGTTGTTCTCTCGCGCATATTCGATGATCAGCTTTCTTCCGACGGTGAGCGAGCGTCGAGATTCTTCTGTTCGGCAGAAGAGTGACTTAAGAATACATCTCCTTACCCGTTGATAAATGGAATATTGATGTGGATATGACTGATATTTTAGGTTTTTTGTAGAAACCAATCGAAACACCTGTGCTTGTGAGAACTGTTCAAAGATTCCACTTGATATGCAGAGGATGGGATATTGAGAGCAGAGGGAACATGTTAAGCCAGGAAGCGCTTAAAAACGAAATGAAGATCTGAGAATCCGGGAAATACCATTCATCTAATCTCACAATGTAGTGGATGAGATTGAGTACGTGGCGCATTCTGGGGTAAGTTTTGAGGCCCTTCTCTGCTGCCCGCATAAGCGGGTTGATATACACATCACATGCGAACAACTACTTTTTGAGATGAAAATCGAGTGTATGGCGCAATCCTATATGGAGATTTTCCAAAAAATTAAAGCACTTTCTTATAGTAACCGACAAGCTGAATTCAAAGATATCTTCGGGTTCTCGAAAGCTCAATTTTGAACCGAGTTATAACGAATTCACAAAATTAACGAGGATTCGCGTTATTCGCGTGAATTTTCGTTTTAAAACGGCGAGTACTGTATTCTCGTAGGTTTATTCCTATCTCTGCGAGCACCGATTCACTTTCTGTGTACTTCTGCAAGCCTTCTGAAGTGTTTTCTGCCGGAAGGAGAATGTTATCCACATAGAGATTGTCGCCGATCTCTTTTGCTAGCGCGTTATTTTTGGATTGCAAAAACGACAAAAGGCACATATTGAGGATGCTAGGTGATGGTTACCTTTTAGCCGAAGAAATCCGCAGAGATCTCTGTGATCTTCCCGCAGCCGTATTTGCGTAAAAACTGCATCTATGTCACACAATATGACGATCTTGGAAGTCCTACTAGCAATGAGAAACTCATGGATTTTATGCACGAGTATCTCCCCTGTGTTACATCGTTTAGATACAATTGTCCTTTGCGCTTGGGCGAGGCGTCAAACACAATTCTCAAAGGTCTTGGTTTCTGCGCTCTCCACACATGCGAGTGGGGCATGTTAAACACACCAACAGCATCGCTGCCCTGTACTCGTTCTATGACGTCTTCGGCTTTATGTCGTCTGCCCAAGGAGTTTGCAGTACCACTCCTTCTGTGCGGAATTTTTCTCTAGGTGTAGCTGTAGACTCCTCAGGCGTCTCAATGCTGTACCATAATTGTCTGTTAGGTCTTAAACAATGCTCTTGAGCGGGAATGGTGCGGTGATGTATCCTTTTTCAAATGATACTTGCTCCGAATGGTTTCTGAAGTATTCAAGGAAGCTCTCATTCTCAGTGAGGGAAATTCCTGAACCTTCGACTTCGAAAAATTCACTCAACTTTTCTGGTTCGGTTTCTTCGACAGCCGACATGCTGTAAGACATGAGCGAGGATGCTGTGTTACCATCACATATTTCAGCTAATCCTCGTCCATATACAGTAGGACCGAAAATAGTATTGGCTATTCGTAACCCTGATGGAGCTCTGAGTGTTTCTCCGTTGTCGAGGACGAAGCTATGGTAGTGGTCTAGACCCACGAGAATATGTGGCATATGGTGTTCGCCTCTTATTTTTGGGTTACATACCAGGAGATTTCTTTTCTCAAGGAACTCTCGATCGACGGAACATAGTTTTACTGCAGGAAATTTATTCGTGAGGATAGGCTTGGTTGAAATGAGTATTTCTAAATCTCCGCCATAGGCTCTACCGATCTTCAAGTGTGCGAGTGTTTCAGTTTGACCTCCTATTCCGGACATGATGCATGTCTCTGTCTTTATTTGCGGCAAGTTCAGTTTTTTTGCGAGAACTTCCTGTATTACTTTTTTTGGGCGCCAGTGTCAAAGAAAAATATGGCCTTCCCGAAATTCCGCGTGTCATGATTCCAGATACATCCTTCGGCAGTCATTAGGGCTATCTGCTCCTTCTTCAATTTAGCCACGTTCGATTCGATGTTGGTATGGTTCTCTGTCAGTTCTTCGTAGGAACCTCTCTCATCGACATCGCTACTCTCTGCAATATTCTCATGATTCTTGGCGCAATCCCACTCATTGTCGCATTCTACGTGGATATTGATACTGTTACACTTGCGCTGCCGCGAGCCCCCGTTGCGGAAGGAATTTGCTGACTCACCGCTTCTTCGCTTGTTCGTTGCGCTGGCGGTCTTGCTGCCCTGATCGAGCTGTTGTTGTTCGCTTACTGGCAGTCTATATTGCTTCGATACAGAGGCGGGATCGTCTGCGCTATCGCTGGAGAAGCACAGCTTAATATGGTGCATTCTTCCGCATAGGCGGCAATTGTTTCGTGAGCGCTGTACGCTTGCGTGCTAAGGCGAATAAATTTCCAGCAGAGTCGCTTGCAAGCTACTATTTCTCTCTTCTTGTTGATGGACATTGTAGATGGTCACTGCCAAGAAAAGTGGCCGCTCTTTTCACATATCGCACATAACGCACGCGCTGTTGTACTTCCGTCGCTTGCCATGAGATTTTTCTTGGACTCACTAGTGTGAAGCCGCGATTGAATGTATGCTTTGGCCGAGATTTCGTCACTGATAAACCCATAATGGCATCCACCGAGAGGTCATCGTACTCCCTTACCTTTATGAGCAGCGGTTCGACGACGTCTTTAGGAACTTTTCAAAATCTTTCTCATTTCCAAAAAAGAGCGGTACATTTACCCTAGGTGGTGACATTGTCCGTGCTGTGGAAGCTAACTGCATGTTCGCATTAGTTTCTTCGTCGAACTGAGTGGCAAAAGGAGTGCCATCCAAGTTGCTACTGTTGTGCGAATTTGAGCAGAGCTCACTTACGCCTTGCGCCGGAGGTACTTTCATGAGTATTCCTAACTTGCGCTCGAGTCGTCTTTGATTGCTTACAGTTTCAGTCAGACGCGCTTCTAACATTAACTGCAGCTCTACAGCTTCTCCTATCTCATCGTCGAAATGAGTCTCTTAATCAATTTGCTCGATTTCTTTAAGCAGAGCTTTTTTCTCTTCCTTTTTTCGTATTGTCGTATGTGTCTTTCATTTTTTCAATCAATATCTGAAGAGATGCTCTGGGAGTCGATCTGTGAGATGCTACCCTTGAGTCTATCGCTTGCATAGTCTCTTCGTATTGGGCCTCATCCGAATCAGACAGAGGCTGCGCTTCTGTGTACATTCTAAAATTCGTAATCAAGGCTTTCAGCGCTGCGGTATTATGCACTATGGGTTTTCCGTAGAGAATCGACTGCATCTTTCTGACTTCCTTTGTGGGTACGAAACCTTTTTCCCTTTGCATTCGCCAACGCTAAGCCTCGGCGGGTTTTTTTTGCTGAACTGGTATCACGCTTTCACATTTGTAGGTACTGAACCTCGCGAGTCTTTCGTCCTCACCTTTGCGGGTTCTTCGTCTACACCTCTGTGGGTTGTTAAACCTCTGCGGGTTTCTCGTCTACAGCACTGCGGGTGTTCTTGAACTTACCTTCTGATGTTTTGGCCGATGCACCGAAACTGACGTAGCCGTTCAGTGGTATCCTTTATTTCCCAATCTAACATATTGTTACATCGACACCCTTATATAAGCTTCTTGCGAACAGAAACATTACAAAGGAGTGTTGGGAAATGTCAGTCGAACATATGCAGAAATATGCAACGATCTGCGATGCAAAATGGAAAACGTCGTGGTTTACCACGACACGGCACATATATCAATTCGTCGGTGCTCTAGAGATTCTGCTAATTCGTACGAGCGGCCTGTCAGCGTGCCAGCATTTAAGGTCACAACGCAAGTCCTAAATACGTTGGGGGACTCTTGGACTAGCCTGGTTGTCCTCATCCCGTCCTTGCACAGGATACTCTCGCACACCTCTCACACTCGTCGTTTTGCGATGCACGTCTGCTCCCGTGGGCGTTATATCAACATTGACTTTAAAAGGTGACTGGAGTGTTCGTAGGCCGGCCTGACACGAGGAACTGTCGCCTCGTTTTCGTCACACTTAGCAGTGATAAGTGGTGGTCTGCCTCATAGGACAGTTTCTAGCAAATGAGATTTTGCTCCGTCCTCGAAAAATTGATGCAGTCATTTACTCATCCATCCATAACTGAAGAGTCATTGGGGAGAAAGCAAGTTTCTAATTGTAGTTCAAAAGCGGTGAAACAGCCTTTGTGTTGCCTTCTTGCATTATGCTTTGATCTGTTATGATGGTAAGAAGGTCCTAAGCCGTTTGACATTTTTTGCTTTGCATTTCTATTGAGCATACAGTGGAATTTACTCAATAATATAGTCATCATTGTTACTCACTGGGGAGATTTAGAGTCAAAGAAATAATTGACCGCTCTTCCAATGTCTTTAACTTTGATGAATTTTTTCTTCGCCAGGGACAAAATAAGCGTTAGTCAGGGGGGATAATGCAAGGGAATATGGTGAGTATGGAACCGTGTCCCAGTCCAGCTTTAATTTTGCACGGTTTTTTTTACCTATGTGGAGCTTGACGTTATCGTAGAGATGGTCATTTTTCTCGGACAGCGTCCGCAAGTTTCTGGAGCTAAAGCGCAAATGCTGCCGGTGACGGTGTGCCTATGCGGGAGCAGCCCGAAATACAACGTTCCTCGTGAACCTCAGGAGCAGCAAAGAAGACACTTCTTAGGGTAAAGCTCCGATTTCGCTTGCGTCGGTGACGGCGCGGTGTCTCTTAGAATCGTATAGAACATCTTATCTTCCGTGACCAAATCTTCCATGAACTCCTTTCGGTGCGGGTCAAGAAGTAGACTAACAGATGGATACCTGGGTGAACCGCATGCCATCCGTCGGGACATGAGGGGTCCATCGAGTGAGCACCTTCTTGAAGCCGAGGGCGTGAAGGCGACCGAGGACTGTTGTATGGGTACACCTAAGCCTTACTGCAAGGCTGCGGGTGCTAACATCCGGATCCTCTTTGAATGCTTCCAAAATGGTGGAGTCCCCACTATTTTAGGGCGTGCCAGCCTCGCCTCACCTCGAAGCCGTTTCTCCTCTTCTAAAACTAGCGAAGCGCTTGACACCGCTGATGGAATGGTGTCCTCTCCCGATGCGCTGTTAATGCTGGGGACGGTTCCCGCGTTCCCACGACGCCATCCGTAGAAGATAGTCGCTCGAAGGCGATCTTGTAAAATCGGCATCATGATTAAAGTTAAGGAAGACAACCCTATACTATATATGGCTATATACTTTTTGCGGAGAAGTGTGATCGATAGCCATGATCTATTACGTGGCAGATCATGGGTAGCGATCAATACTTGGAAGATCTGGAATATTCAAAAATCGGCTAGACTCTTCTTCCATCTCAAGCACTATGCATCATTTTTATGTACAAGCACCCCCCTCCTCCTCCGCCGTCACCCTGTCGTTCAGGATTGGTGCTTGAAATTATGATTGGGACTATGCTATATGCTTTGGCTACCCCTCATTTCTTTAGTTAGGTCAAAACCCCAGATTTGGCTAGAAATCAGCCTCAGTGGTAGACCCCTTGAAAAGGAATATCGCATCTGTTTGCACGGAACGGTATGGTGTCCACGCTACAACCACTATACTACGGGCACCATCGGCGCTCTTGGCTAAGAGGTGTTCACAGGGTGGGCCAAAGTTATGAGGACAAAAAGGCATTATGTAGTCAAAACGCACCGTAGCTTGAAGGATTTAACAATTTTTAGGAAATGATTTGCCGAGAGAGATGGCACGTGCTGTAGCACGCAAGCGTGTCCAAATGTTTCCAGGCTTTCTGCTTTACCTTGCCAAGGGATCAAAGTTTTCAAGGGTTCTCATTTGCGCTTGCCTCCTGGATGGACCATACAGGAATCTAGAGATATCAGTCAGAGGCACACTCCGGGATTAGGCACGCTCGACCGCTTCATCCCGGGGATCGAATACGGGCGAACAAACGTTGATGTCGCGCCCCTTTTGCCGCTCGAAAGTGTGCGATAAAAGCGCGAGGAGCTCGCCCGACCCACAGATCACACCTTCCTCCGCAAGCCCCACCCTCTACCGTCGGTTACCACGCGGTGGGCGCCGCTTAAAAAGCACGGGCGCGTTTGGGGCAGCCCATTGCGACCCAATGTTATCGGCACTGAAGCAACTAGAATTAGCTTCGTGAAACTTGTCCAAAGCGCCCCTTCTCTTTCCCACAATGGAATGCGGCTGAAATAGCGAACGTCTCTGCGCGGGGCGTAATCGGTGGTTTCGTTTGCTTTCCTTTTAATTTTCAGGCCACCTCCCACCTCTAGCTTCATAACTGAACGCTTTCCCACACTTATTTTATCCCGAAGCTTGCCTTTAATGCGCTGCTGTGTCTTGAAAAGCAGTGAGCTTGAAAATGTCTTTCGGAGGATTTTGCGTCATTCTTGAGTGCTGTAGAAAATGTCTTGTGTCTTGTATAAAATCGGCAGAGTACTTGATTGGCTTTCTTTCTTTTCCTATTCACTTTTTTCACTTATTCCTATACACTACAGCGCTGGAGTCCTTGGAGGGTCTAGCCGGGATTTTGCATAAGCCAGATTAGTCCCCCGTCAACCGCCGGGACCTTCCTTTCCTGCGCAAGCTTTCTATCCTCCGCTATGGTCCCTTCCTCCTGTGACACCAACACCTCGTGGAAGTGACGCGTATGCAACACAATGGTGTTCCAAACAGTAGAAGGGACACAATCCTGCTTAGCGCTTTATAAAATAGAAGGATTTTCTCATGGGGAGTACGAAATTCGACAAAGGGAGAGCTAGTTTCCCGCATCTAATATTTGTTCTGGTGGTGACTGTGACCTTCTGATCTCCGCAATTTCCATCTGTGGTGATTCCAAGCTCATTGAAGCCTGGACTTGCTCATAAGCTTCCATGTTACGTTGCAGTTAAATGTCGCGTGCCGGAACCCTTAGTGACAGTCGTGATCGCCAGCAACTGAATGTTAGATATCACGACCGCCTCCTTGACGGCGTTTGAAATAGAATTTCAGAAGCCACCACTAAATTATCTCGTCTCCACACTTCTCAATTTGTTTTGAAGGCAAAAGTCGGGCTCAATAAGGGGGTATTATGACGACTGAAACTGAGTATAGAGATGCGAAGTGGAACGACACTGGAGAAAACTGAGAAGAACCGTCGACAAGGCCGTTAACAGAGCCCTCTTTCCCACTAGCAGTGAAGAAGGCTGACTTGGAAAAGAGGCACGTACAAACAAGTTTCCTGAAGATGTCAGTCGTTCTATCGGTTGATACGGCAATCAACCTAGCTGATTTCACACGTTCGCACCACATCCCAAGGTGGGCGGTCGTAGCGGGCCAGGCGGCGATAGCGCACAGTACATGCCCTGGAGCCTTATTACCGCGTCGTTCGAGATTTTGAACGTAGGAACATGTGTACGGGTGCGTGACCAAGTACAGACATGACCGAAAGTATCCGCTAGGTCATTTAATCCCGACCTTTGCCGTTAATTTTGGAGGAACGATTTTCAGCTACAAATCAGCAGCCGATGTTGCGTTGTGACAGTCTCATACGGCACCGCCTTTGCGTCTGTTACAAGCCCTCGCATTGTCTGACGGGGACAAAGTAGATTTGCGTTTTGGCTGTAGAAGGTGATGAAGTGGGAACTGAAAATTACTATTTGCGATGGTGAGATCATGCGAATTTCAAGAATTCGCTCACCATCGGTGCTAGTGACTCCATTAACCAGTGTGGATTTGTGTCAGGCTGCGGTACCATCGATGCAATACATGCCGTCCGCCTTCCGGAAAGACACTGCGAGAAAAGGAAAGCCGTGCATCTTGCCATTCTAGACCTGGAGGCCTCTGATTGTGTTCCTCGAAAAGTTATATGGTATGCTTTACAACAGCACGGCGTTCCCAAAGAGCTTGTTGAGTGGGTGCGCATACCTTACTCGAACTCAAGGAGTCTGGTGGGATGGAATGGAATTCCTAATCTCGGTCGGTGTGCACCGAGGTTCCGCGCTTTCACCGCTTCAATTCATTGTCGTTATGGATACCATTTCGCGTGATCTCGGAAGCCCTCTCCACGGACGCCTCTCCTCTGACGACAGCTGCAAACCTGGTCCGATCGTGTGGGTATGTTTGGGCCCAGGGTAAACGTGAGAAAGACAGCCTACATGACTATCAATTCGAGTGAGCCAGGCTCTATTAAGATCAATAGCACTGAGCTCACACGTACAACATCAATCATCTTAGGTCGGTAATCGCGTCCGACGGCAGCAAGGTCTTTGAAGCAAACTCCCGAGTGAGTGCAGCTTTGCCCAAATGGCGCTCGATGACCGGCGTCCTCTGCGATGACAAAATACCAGAACGACTGAAATCTAAGATCTATACTGTCGTGCGATCAATCGCCATTTACGGAGCAGAGTGCTGGCCAGTGACTAAAGAGGAGGAAGCTCGTCTCAGTGTAATGGAGACAAAAATGCTGCGCTGAATTGCCCGGGTCACATTCGACCATTGAACCACATTTGCAACGATGCCATCAGAAAGCAGTTCAGTGTGGCTCCCATCATGCGAATGACGACAAGATTCGCGAAGTTCGCCTGAGGTG